GATCTGCCAGTCAACAGGATCCGCAACATGCCTTCTCTGCCAGACCGGGTGGGATGAGTCAATGTAATGGAGGTGAGACAGTCCCTCAGGTAGTCTGGACCCATGCCACGTAGGGCTTTAAAGGTGATAGCCAACACCTTGAATTGGACCCAGAAACAAACCAGAAACCGGTGCAGCTCCCGCAGTAAAGGTGTTACATGTGCCATCCTTGGGGCGCCCAAGATTGTCCGCACGCCTGCATTTCACAACAGCTGTAGCTGTTCAAGGTCACAGACCTTCTCCAGTATGGAAGCTGTTTTAGACCACCAGACTGGATATAATCGCAGCATTTATGAATCCAGCCAGCTCAGTCTATACACAAATAGGTCCTCAAACACAGAACCAGTTTATCAAGAAAAGGTTCAGCCTTTCCAGGTTTAGGAAATAGACTGGAGTTTAACAAATTGAAACAATTAGACGGAGGTGGTTAACTTTTCAACAGTTGCGAGACCCGTGGTAGCCTGTTATTCCAAACATGAATTCAGCAAATTTATTATTAAAATCATCTACTGAAGCATCCAGGAAATGTCAGGTGGTGAGCCTATTACCAAGAGAATTCTTGTAATTCTCTAACCTGGGTTTTTATATGGGAGTTTTATTTTATTCTTATTTACTATTCAATTTATTAGTCACCCCAATCGCCAAAGCAACTTTCACCACCTAGAATCCCAACTTTTAATTTGGAGATAAAACTCCGGAAATTGCTTTAAGCCCATTAAAAAGCATTTCACTTCATAGTGTTTACCACCATTTAATTAGGATCCGTTCTACCTACAGAAATTTCCACACCATGAAGCGAAGGTTCTAGAGACCAGCTAAGATTGGAGAAACCCAGGTTGACCCCCCCCTAAGTGGCTATAAAGGACATTAAGTGACAATAATATCTATATAAATATGATAAATAAATAAATAAAGTGACAATAAACCAGTCGGCTAAACCTCCCTCACAGAGTTATTAAGAGCAGAAAAGGAGGGGAGATGAATTCCTTGGAAGAAAGGCACGATAAAAATTTAAATGTAAATAAACAAATGAATCTAACAGGCTAGCGTTTGTTTTCTTAAATCCCGAATTTCCTTTTTTGGTCGTGGTGGTGGGGGCAACAAACAAGAAGTCCTCAACAAAGCAAGAGGGAAGAATGACCTGATTCGCACAACATGCTAAACCATGTGTTATGGTTTTAATGAGGATTCATTGAGTAAGCCACAACTGGGTGCATTCACATAGCATACAAAGACATAAATTAAGGTTTATAAACCATGGAGACTGGCTGACACAATCTACGAGCCCTGATATGTTGGGATGGGGGAACCAGCCAACATGATGAAATGAGGCATCCTTTCAACCTAGATCAGACAAACTCCTGGAGAACAGAATGAAAAAAATCAAGCTTCTGGGTCCTGCAAAGGGAGCACAGGCAATCTGGGGCTGTCCAGATGTTTTGGACTACAACTCCCATGATTTCCAGCCCACAGCCAGGCTTATGACATTCCCCCAAATCTACTTTTTAAGTGCCACCATTGTTGAAAAGGTGACATTTCAGATGTTGTGAGTTAGCCAGCAACCAACCTCTTTAACCCCGAATGAGGGTGTGGGGGCTTTGAGGAAAGCATTGGCCCCACCACCTCTTTTCGGAAGACATTCAGCCCTGTTTTGCACAGTCAGTATTGCATCGCTGGAGAAGGGAGTTAAAGTAAGCCTTTTTCGGAGAAAGATGTTAATCGCTGCTCCCATTCTCATTGTGACCAACAGAACACCTAATAATAGTAATTCTCCCCATCCTCTTTGGCTCCAGGGCTCAGCCCCCAATCCTGTTTGAAAGGCCGGGCACGACTGGAGCAACCAGAATGGCAGGAACCACAATGCCCCTAAGCAAGGGCAGATCCCAGGCAGGTCCTGGCTGCAACATCTCTCATCCCAAAGAGCCATACTGGGGGCTCGCAGGGAATTGGGAGCCCAGGCCTTAAAACTTGGGTGGATGGTTCTCTTCCAGCCCTCTGAGGCCAGTTCCTGGTCACCTCAAGGACACGGCCAGACACTTCCACAGGTGGCGTGTGGCTGATGACCTCCAGGAGGATCCATCGATTTCCCAGTCTAGACCAGTGTTTCCCAACCTTGGCCATTTTAAGATGGGTGGACTTCCACTCCCAGAATTCCCCA